ATTGTGAAACATTCTAACCGGGCTGCAAATGGTAACAGGGCCATTAAACTTCCCAGCCGCACCAACCACACTCACTTAATCACTAAGAGCAGAAGGAACGTGAGACTCTTTCAAAATGGGATGATGACAGAAATTTCAACGGGAACGACAAAATGCTAATATATGGAATAATTTAGCTAGAATAATATAAATCTTTAAGTTATCGTAACTGAAATATCTACACCATTATATAAAAATCTGGTCCAACCTGGTGCCTGAGTGGCTCAGTCGGTTAAGTGTCTGCCTTAAGCTCGGGATTGAGTCCCACATCGGGCTCTCTGCTTGATGGGGAGTCTGCTTCTCGCTCTACCCCTCCCCCCCTGCTTGGGCTCGCTCACTTGCTCTCAAATACATAAAATCTTAAAAAAAAGTCTGGTCCAAACTGATCACTACTATAACGTGCGTGGCTCATGCATTTATTAATTGATGAATTCAGCAAACATTAATCAAATGCCTATTACATTCGAGGGATACACTGACACCATGGGGGATGTATTTTTGTTTATAAAATGTAGAGAGTTCATTAATATAACACTTACATGTGCAATACTAAAAGGGGAAGTTTTTAAAGAAAGCCCACCTAATAAAGGAATGAAATCTCAGTAGCTCTTTCTTATTGAAATTAAAATGTTACCAGCTGCAAATTAACTCAGTAGCCATAGTTATTGGCAAACTGTTGGCTTACAATGACAAAACAAACACACAAGACCATACAGTACTCTTATGAGTTACTCATACACTTAGCTAACAAGTTGCATCCAAAAAAAAAAAAAAGTGAAGATGAGTTCCATGAATCTGTGATGTAATTAAACACAACATATATATTTTAAAAGTCTACAAAGGGCAAGACCTAAAAGAAAAGCCAACCAACCACAAATCCATGCTCTAAACAAGACATCTAATTTGAAGACAGTAGCATATTATCCAATTTCTTTAGTATGGACTTTCAGAAACAATTTAAATCCAACCACCTGGTATAAATCTACTGCTCAATTTGCCTAACTTCTCTTTAAAGAGCCTAAAATGGGAAACCGTGATGAAGTAATGTAAGAATAAGCTCTAAACTGAAGTTTCCCCCCTTCTGATCTCAAATCCCCAAACATTATGCAAAATTTTTTAAAACTCCAGAACCATGCTGGAAAATGAGAAAACATACTGCTAGTGGATAAGACACCCTGAGAAACCCCTGAACAAGAGAAAGTGAGAGAGTGGGATGAAAGAAAATCAGCACAGCCCGAAAGGGACACATAAGTATTCACTGCACAAAATAGGGAGGCTCTAGGCTGACCCCAGACTGAAGGGGTAGACTGCAGGACAGAGTGGAACCCCACCTTGGCTGAGCCATGGGGCCACTGGTTCAGAAAATAAGTAGACACAACAAGAGAAAGAGCCTTTTCACATCCTGTCCCTACCCACTCACCGCGGACACAGCATCCAACAAGAAGCAATGAGTGCAGGAACTTTACCAGAAAAAATCAGTACTGCTAGGTGCTGGTAACACCCTAGAGATATGGTGAACCCCAACACAGGAAAGGGTGTTTCTGTTATTAAAAAAAAAAACAAAAACAATCACTCAAGATTGCAGAAATTAGAAACTGAGTGTTGAAAGGGAAAAATTCAATATCTGGAGAAATAGCTGAAGGCCAAAGGAGTGAGTCAACCCATTTCCCCATAATACAGTGCAAAAGGACAAGCAGATGGAAAGTGCTACTGAGGCTGAGGGGTACGGAGGGTAGAGCCCTTAAGTGTAAACAACCATCTACATAAATTAGAAAACTCTTCCAGAACTGCAGACAAAACCCCCCATACTGAAAGAGTAGGCTGCATGTCAAACAATGATTTTTTTTTTTAAAACACACACACACACACACCTAGTTACGTTGCAGTAAAAATTTTAGAATAATGCGGAAAAGGAGAAAATCTTCAAAGCTTCTAGAAGGAAAAGAAAAGCATAGGTTCCCTGTCAAGAAGCAAGCATAAGACTGGCCTCAAGCTTCTCATCAGCGACACTGAATACAAGGAAAAATGTAATACAATACCTGCAGAGGTCTAAAAGGAATTTGTTTGAGTCTAGAAATGCATACTCAGCCAATTCCACTGAGAAGAACAAATACAGTCTGATTTTCCACCAGGCAAGAACTTAAAGATTTTATGTTTTTTAGTTTCTCTGGAAGAAATATTAGAGGATACACACCAGCAAAAAGAAAATCCACTCCAAAAGGCAGTAGGATACAAAAGTTAATGATATATACAAAGAAACAGTAAATCTTCAAAACCGTCAAGTAACAATCTACAAACAAAATCCTAGTTGACAATAATCTGAAGGACGGGAGGAGAAAGTAAAAAGAAATAAAACTATTTTTTCCCGTCTTGTTGGAACTATCTCTAGATACTTACAAGAAAAATATGTTTTAATATGGGTGGTGAATATCTGGGTATATTTCCAAAAACATAGAAACATAATTTATAACCTTCAAACAACTTAAGAAAAAATTAAATGATGTACTGTATGGTGACTAACGTAACATAATAAAATAAAATTTTAAAAAAATTAAATAAAAAGACACTAAAAATGGAAAAGGAAAACACTATAGAAAAATAGACAAAGGTTATAAATAGGCAATCCACCAAAGAATAAACACAATGTCCCATAAACACAGAAGATACCCAATATTCATCAGGAAAAGGCAAACCAAAAAGCAATGACCTACCATTTTTTAGAAAAATAAATAAGTGTGCTAATATTAAGATATGCTTTGCTGAAGTGGCTATAAATTGGGACAGCTGTTTTCTTAATGTGCAAACCATATCAGCCAAAATTCCGCTTCCTGCTATGTACTCTAGGAAAACCTTTTCATCTGTACACAGGTACAAAGAGCACATGAAAAGATGCTTGTCGAAACATTTCTGGAGTGGCAAAAAATGGGAAATAAGCTAAATGCCCATCAATGTGGAAATTTTAATGTAATTAAGATAGAGTCTACCAAGAATACTATGCACTGATGAAAAAGAATATTATAGATCTGTAACCACTAACCTGAAATGGTTACAAACAAGAGAAACACAAACTTTATGTGTAATACAGGAGGTTCTTTTTAACCACAAAATGTATCAACATTACTTGTGCAATTACAAATAAGTTAAATACACTTGGAAAGAAAAAAATTAACAGACAAACAACATAACAGTTTAAGAGTACAAAAGTGGTAGAGAAGTAAGTCTATCCATTCACCTTTTTTACAATGTTGCTTTTTGAAAAGCATCATCTACACTGAAACCAATTGTGAATGTTACCACGAACATAACCATCCCCATGGAGCAATCAAACACATTCCCTCTGAATCAGGACAGTGAATTCTTCAAGTTCCCTCATTCATAAGATTCACTGACTAATTTGTAGCCAACAAAAAATTACTAAAAACTGACAAATTCATCAGGAAAAATGAGGACCAGTTCCCTCCCACTCTTTCCCTCCCCAGCTGCAATGGTCTCACAACAACACATTAGGTGGGGCGCATCACTGAAAGCTGTCAAGACAACACGGCCAAAAATTAAAATTAAAAAAAAAAAAAAGAAGGAAAATCGGTTTCAGGCAAGGGCAACACAGACGTCTATCTTACGGGGCCGTTCGTGGAATAAGAGCAGGAGCTCGATGCTCTCTCTTTCTTCCTCTCAGTGGTTGCTGAACCAATATGGTCACAACACCATGGACTTGGGAAGCTGGTCAAAAGGCCTGGTGACTCAACACTGAATTTCTTGTCCCTCTAGGTGATTTCGCTCAGTGGTGCAAATTTATACCAGAACAGAGCACAGTCACCCTCTTATCAATCAGGAAATGATATATATTAAAAGCTGGGTTTTTTTTTTTTAAGTGTTGGCTAGCAAAGCTGAGAGAAGTTGGCAAGAGAACAAAGCCTGATTCCCCTGTTAGGAAGCCAAAGGGCTCGAGGACAGAGAAATCTGTGGGAAGACTAACTGCTCTCTCATGAGCCCCTTCAGGGTAAAAAGCAAATACTTATCTTTCTTTTTATGACATTCTCATTAAAAATGAGCAGCAGCTCTATTTTCCTTCAAGAAAAACTGACCTCAAACAATAGGGTCTTCTGAAAACAAAGAATCGAATGTTTGTGGTTCATAGACAGACTCCTCACAGACGAGAAGCCTTCTGCTGTGTCACCAGCCACTAGGCCAGAAGATCAAATATAACTGCGAGCTGATTAGCTGGTTGACTACAGCCTAGGTGGGGATTGCCAAGGCACATCACAGATGCCCTGAGCAGTAAATTCTGAACCAGAACACCCGGGTTTTCCTTCCCTGTAAACGCAGTGGCTCTCAGAGAGATGGGACTTTGTATGACTCTGGAGGTGCAAATGCTGGGGAGGAGTGGGGGCAAGGCTGAGGAGGGGCCTGGAAACCCAAACATGGAAAAGCATGTATAAGGGCATATTCATGGTGCCCCATCAAGAGACACAGCCCTCTGGTAGCAAGACAAGTTGAAAGGAATGTGCTGGATCAAACTGCATTTTTTTTGTACTGTTGAGGACACTTGACCACCACAAGATCTTTCCCTCTCCATTTTCCGGGTGCCAACCACGTATATACATGGCCAACGAAGTATCACACTCTTGGCACATAGTTTTCGGATGGATGGATAAATGGGTAGAGGAATGCATGACCAGACAAATGAACAAAGAAAACAATGGAATAAACAGCCTACTTTTCCTCCATGGGCTTCAAAGTCATCCATTCAGAATTAATATTCTACTTGCAAAAAATATTCAGCAAAGTTGCTCCCAGCTGACTTCTCCACACTGCACACAAATGTTGCCCAGCTCACCAGAGACCTCAACAGCATACTATATAAAATCTGGGTAGTGATAATCCTCCCGGACTCTCTACTACACCAAGGCAATTAGAATAATTAATAGCAAATAGAATTCATTGATTCGAATGTAAATTACCACAATTGGGTATCTGCAGGTTTGCCAGGGGAATATTCTTGCTGTTTTCATTTAGGCAGTACAAATCCTGAGTTTCTGGGCTGGATTTAGTCTCCTGAAGAGTCTTGATCCACATAATGTCACAGGAGCATGTAAATGGATTGCCCACCAGGATCCTACACGGAACAGAAATGAAACCCGATCAGGCTTCTCTTTTCCAGTGTTAACTATGCTAGTGTTTACAAAGCACTACAACATTATGAATTCTATCTGGCCAGCAATCTTCGAAAGTCATACCTACCTTTATAGCTTTACAATACTTATTCATTCATTTATCTAATACTTACTGATCTTCTGCTAGGTGCAAACACCACCACGGACTCTAAAGGATGCAGAGTGATGCAAGACCTTTCAGAATAATGGGGAAACAAGACAGGAAGAGGCAGAACTATAATAAAGCCTAGAAAAGGATGTCTCATAGGATGGGGGAAAATCAGATGCCATAACAAATTTATCACAGCCATTATATAGTAATTAAGATCTTTAGTGAACATGCCAATAGTTAAGTTATCAGGAACACTAACATACTTATCTCTGACCAGGCTAGAGATTTAAGTGTTATCATTTAATAAGCTCAAACCACAGCAGAGAGCAGAGCGATTTCAACCGACTTTACAATGAGACCGTAAATACAAAGTGAAGGCTGAAATGTGAGGGCCAGTAAGGTGGTACCAGTTTTCTGCACAGGGCGACCACTGTTCAGCGGGACCGTTGCAAGAAAGTTGGAGTAAATGTGCACAAGAGAGCCTGGAAGGGAACTCTGAGACCTCCTTCACACACACACACCCAAGCTCAGGGTTTCTGAGAGCAAGAGCAAGCGAGCTCCAGATGGAGCCCCTCAGCCCGCTGCAGGAGGGTCTGCAAAGAGAAAGCCACCCATCAGCTGAGCTGCCGGGACTCCCGTGGCCTGCAACTGGTAACAGAGGAAGTAGTCAAGAGGAAAATAAAAACCACAAGAAAAAAAATCTTTAAATGCTTATTTATAATACTCAGTGGCCTATTTAAGATGAATTCCATTTATGGTAATGAGCCTTTAAATGAGGCCATTTACAATCGTTACATAGGCTCTGCCCGGCATTAACCACAATACTTAAGATTTCCTTGAGGACAGAACCTGGGCTTTGCAACATCATTTACTCCTGTGGTTTTCTGGTTGGGTTCAAAGAATCTCAGGGATCCCCGGAGACTCTTCCAGGAGTCTCTCTGGGGAAAATGTGGTCATGGCAGCCTCGTTTAATTTGTGTCTGCTTGATCGCCTCCAAGTATCCCTCCAACAACAAAATAGAATGTGATGCTATTGGATACAGAATCTAAGGCAGAAGAGATCCACAATGCATCAACTCCAACTACTGCAAGAGGTTTCCTGGCATTCTAAGTACATGAAAAACTGAAGAATCTCTCAAAACCCAAGGCATGACCGAACCCACAGAAGGGATAAAGAAGCAAAGGATCTTCGGCTATAACTATAGCAATGTTCACATGAGCACAACACACCGGCAGGTAGCTGGCTCCTTTCTTCAGTTCATGGGCAAACCCCTCTTCCAGTGATTGCTACAGCACCTGACCCTCGTTTGTTTAGGCTTCTAGCTCTCCCACTAGATAGCAGAGTCCTGAAACACAGAGAGTGTCCTCCTTACGTCCCCACGTCCCAGTGCATGAGTCTGATTCGCAACCAGGCACACAACTAACATTTGCTGAGTGATTTGATTAAATCTGCTGCTGGGAGAAATCAGAGGCCTGTGGATTTGGAGTCAGAACTCTGATTTCTGACCCGTCAAGAAAATGTTCCGCAGTGATGCTCAAAAGGTTCATACTGGGCATCTCTCGCCCTGTTTCATATCTTCCTTAAAGTTTACGTGCCCATTCCTGGGTTAGAAAGCTTACCACTTCAAGCCCAGGGAATTAAGTGTATTCCAAAATACTGCCCATCGCCAACACTCGGCACCAGGCAACCCTCATTAAGACCTATCCGCACCTTTTCCTTGCGAGCAGGGGGAGACCCTTCAACTCAGGCAATACAAACAGTGTGAGCAAAAGCTACAGCCTGGTGTTCAAAGGCCTTGTCCATCTGGGCCTCCCGCTGACACACTGAGCCTCTGCCTTGAGGTTCTTTGGGCAACTTACCCATAGCAATGTCAACAGTTAGCACAAGAATGGAGCATGCCTGGAAACGGTGGCTATCAGTCATTAACACATGGCCATCTTTTTCCTATCATTTTGCAGCAAAGGAAATTAGAGCATCGGGATAAATCCTGAGTGCAGTGGCAGACCCAGAAGAAAATCTCACAAGGATGGGCAGGGAGGGAGAAGAACGACCTCTCCTACAACGTTCACCAAGCACCAGCGGGCACCAGGTAGTTCCGCCCATGGCTATTTCCTCCTTGACTGGCTCTGCTTTCCATTAGGCCCTGGACATCACCAATGCTATGAGACATGATGCCCTTATAACATAAAGCTCCCCCCTCCCTCTTTTTCTGCTTTCCCTCCTTTAGAAAACAAATCACATTTAAAGTCATCCTAAATGATACCTCACTGTTGAGATTTCTGGGTTTTGATTACTTAATCATGTTTTTATGAGGGAATAAAAAAAAGTGGCCAAAACCTGAGCAATCATTTTTTTAAGAATTTTGATATAAAAATAGATCTGCAGCATCACTCATTTAAAAAAAATACTTAATTACTCTTTCCTCTGAAACTGTTTCTCTGAATGCCACACAATAATCATTACTTACAGCTCAGACAAGTCAAGGTGACGAAAATGTTTCCTAGACAAGCTCATCAGTTTATTTCGGGTAAAATTGCTGAAAGAAACCAAAAACATTAAATGTGAATTAAAAATGTAACATCTCAAGAAGAAAGTATGCAAGTAGAGATTTTTTTTTTCAAAATATAATTTTATTTGATCATGGTTCATGCCTTCCTTCAACACAGCCTCTTTCTTCCATCTGGAATGACAACTTAGTTTTTCCTGCCTCTCCTAAAATTCTTGTTCATAAGGGAAGTGGAGGGGCGGGCATAATTTCCAAAATGTCTATTTTTAATCTCTTTCTTAACCAAGAGTTTATTCTTCATATGCTGATTCAGAGGCAAGTTATATACCTCCTAGAGATCTCTGACCTCCGAACAATTAATAGGAAGAATTAATCTAATTTAAAATCATAAAACTCACTAGGGAAAAAAGATGCTTTAAAACTAAACAGCATTATGAATATTTTGAAATCACATGACACATAAAACTCTGAATATAAACTGAATTTAACACATCGTTATAGGAAAGAATACACCCACTGATGGATAACTCTGGTGGGCATTGTTTATATATGACTTCTAAATAACCAGATAATTCCATGATGAGGACAAGAACAACAAAATATCAGAAAACAAGGAATATGTCAGATTTCATGCGAAACTATCCTAGCAACATATCATTTTAAGATCTGGACCAACCAGTGGCTTTGTGGCACCTGGGTGGCTCAGCCAGTTAAGCATCTGCCTTCAGCTCAGGCCATGATCTCAGGGTCCTGGGATGGAGTCCTGCCTCAGGCTCCCTGCTCAGCGGGGAGTCTGCTTCTCCCTCTCCCACACCCCCTCCCCCCTGCTCATTATCTCTGTCAAGTAAATAAATAAAATCTTAAAAAAGAAAAAAGATCTGGACCAACCAGACAGTGAAAAGTCAATGAAACCAAGTCATATTTGTGATTGAAAAAATACTAATGAATCTACTGATGTGTTCTGAATACTTAGTTTTATTCAATGGGCAGGAGTTTCCATGTCTGATGATCAGGGCCATGAGGCCCTGAGTTGGAAAATTCAGAGCCATAATCCCGGCAGCTGACTTGTTCCGTGAATGTGTTTACTGGTTGAATTTATTCAAAAAGTGTCCAATGCTTGGGCCTCCAGACATGTGTTTAATAACTAGCAGGAATGTAAAACAAACATCAACTTGGACAAAAACAGCCAAGCCCTCAACAAATTGCAATGAACCTTTTAGGATCTGTTTCCTGCTTGGGAACGCAAGTGCTAGCGGGGAGGGAAAAATTGGACACCTGAGGGTCACAGGAGTCCCAGCCCCTTCCCCGAGGCTAGTCTGCTGAGTCAGCCCAACAAACTCACGGGTTGCTCAGACATCCCGCTATGTCTGACCAGTCACCCCTCAAAGAGGGGCCCAGGAGCTAATGTTTGAGCCGAGGCTGGTCATGTGAAAATGCTGCTCCAGGGCCCCCCGATTCGAGACTGCGTGTGTCCTCGCCTCCTTCTATATGGAGAGTTCCACTCACCCAAACCCCTACCTACACAAAGGTTCCCTCTTCCTTTGACGCTTACTTCTTCTGTCTTTACACTGAGCATAAAGTGCTCACCCACATGAAAAAATAATCCCCCGGGAAGTTGTAAAATGTGCCCACATACATCTTTTCTCTTTTCTTTCGGAACGTGAATTAAGAATGAGCTTCACTGGAGTATCACACATTGAAAAGTCAGTCTGCCCGTGTTCTCCAGGCATCTTCAGAAACCCCCACCCTCTGAAGGAAACACAAACAAAACCAGGACTCTTCCTCCTGAGAAGAACCAGGAGAGAGGGGGCAAAGAAAGAAGACACTCTTGGTCAAGGTCTTGGTCAGCGACGAAGCCCCGGGCCGGCCCCGGCAGCAGCTGGTCCTGTCGGGCTGCCAGCGCACAGCCCCGAGTGGGGTCACACGCCAAAGAACAAGATGAGTTTTATGAACCATACTTATTATTGGGGCCAAAAGCCAAAAAAGAGGGGGAGGGGAGGAAGAAAAATCAACAATCCTCTTACTGTTTGATGACAGAACTCTGCAAAGGAACTAATTAGCACCTCGGCAAAGCCCCTGGAAAATACAAACACTGGCTTTTCTCACAACCCCTGGGTTCTCAGACGCTGGGGAGGAATTAAAGGTACCAAGAAATAAACTCAATGACCAGCCACAGGGGCGACAGACAGGCCCCACGCGATGTTGAATATGCCCAGGGCAGAAGGAGGGGCGGTGAGGCAGGCTCCAATCCGAATCTCCCTAAAACCCGAAGTGAAATAGATTGCTCTTGAGCACATTGTTATATTGTTGGGGAGACTCAGAGATAATCAGTGTACCCCCGGAGTAAAAAGAAACAGCTTCTAATGTACATTTCTTTTTCCGCTCCCTGGTATCCACAGTGTCAATATCCGAGGTAACTACAGAAAATCAGGAAAAACAAGCCAGTGCCCAAGTCCTCAGTCATTAGCAGAGGTTGGGACTCAGGTCTGCAAAGGCAGACACCTGATTTGCTCCCTCCTCTCTCCCTGTCATTCTCAAAGCCAACTGCTTAATTTAATTTAATTCTGGTGATTAGGAGCCTCTTTCACCCATGAACACTGTATATGAAGCTTACTGGCCTTATGGCTGCTAAATATCGTCTAACTTTGTTTTGTCTTAATATTTGATCATGCCTACAAATGTCAACAGAGTTTTTGCTGGCTTCCCGGCTATTGCCTTTTAAAGAAACTCTCTAAGATATGTCCATCTCTTTGGTTTTCCACTCTCAAATGATGCCTCTTTGGGAGACAGGGATAGATAGTTGGTTTTATATAAGTTGTTGACAGCACATAGAATGCCGGTAAAATTATTCTATCACATATCACCCTGAAAAGATACACCAGGTGGCTTTGGTTTTCCTATAAATGACATGCAACAGGCAGGAAGGGAAAGTATGAAGAGGTAGAGTAAGCCCTTTATGAATAAGTCCCCTTATAAATAAATACATTAATTACTAAAATGACAATTAACCATAGCCCACTGTACACATCACATCGTTAGGGGAAGTGATGGGGTAAAAGAGCCAATAAAATGGGGTCAGGAGAGTAATTCAGGTAGAATGTTAGCTGTAATGAAAATACCAGAACTTAACCACTGAGGTCATTAATTACATTTAAGCGATGGCCTTAGGGCATTTTGACTTTTTTCATCTCCGACTTCTCTCTTGTTCATGACCTCAAGACCTACACAGACATCAGATTGTGTAGGCAAGCCAACCAAAGAGATGATGCCAGAGAAGCATTTAAATGAAATGTGTTAATCCAGTTCCATGGAGTTTTATCACATTTTTGCTGAATGTTTTGTATCTTCATTCTACAGACATTATTTTTAAATAGACTTCATCATTAATGCCACCTATAAAATACGAAGTCACGAAACTGGCTTTAGCAAAAAAAAAAGGCTTTTCATAAAATCAACAAATCTCCATAGAGTGTCCAGGTGACCTGCTCCGAGAGAATGATTTTCTTTTATAACTGGCATGGAAATCCTCTGGGGAGCTTTTCTCCCCAAGAAAAGAAAAAGGACAAATATTATAAGAAGGGCTGGTTCTCTAATTATATGGATGGCATAGATTTTATTTCCCATGCTCTTATTGTAAGAGCTTGGCCAGGGGTGAGCCCTGGAGTCATAACTCTTGTCACTCTCCATTTTTGGACCTGAGCAAATCTTCGAACTTCCTCCGTCTGGTTTTATGTCCCTGAAATGGGAACCAAAAAGATCTTCCCTGCCAATTGTTGGAAAATTCAAGTGAGATAATGCAGGAGAGAGTCCTACAGGTAAACTGTAGATGAGGGGACACAAAGCATCATTACAGAGAATTTGCAAAGCACCCAAAGGCCAACAAATGCAGGCAACATGCCTCCACTGAACACTCTAGGGCTTAGGGAACACCAATCTGAGCTGAGGGGCAGGTGAGCCTCTGTTGAATGAAGAAACCTCCCAGGAAGGCCATACCTTTTGGACGACAGGCCATCATCTGACAGGACCTAGCAGCAAACACCCTGAGGGATCCCACTGTCCCTATTTCCAGCTGACTTCAGTTGACAAAGCATCAATGTGACTTCGGTGCAAACACTTGCTATTTTATAATCGTCTGAACCTTCGGCGGGTCCCGTGATTGATTTTTCCCCACTTTTATCAACCACGACAGGTAGCTTTGAGAAAATGAACTTTCAAAAGAGGATCTATAGGGGCGGGGGGGAGCGTTGGTAATTTTTAGTTCCCTAAAAAGGCCAAGGCCAAGTCAGTTTCTTTCAATTCCACTAGTTTGATGTCTTCCAGGGAACATGTCATGATTCCAAGGAAAAGAATCAAGGACTGTGTACCAGGACATAGTTTTCACATCAGACTCTGCTGTTGGACTACTGCTCCGTCCAAGATGGAAATGGCCCAGAAATCCATGAAAGGGAATACACAGGCTGTTCTAAGTACCCCTCTGAAGCTATTCAAATATCAAAGCTAACATTTCTAAGCTATTGTCACATCTATGCTAACTTTAAAAAAAAAAAAAAAAAAGGAGGTTGAGTCTTGGAAAAGAGAGAGGAAAAATATTGAATACATTGGGTCCCGGGAAGCAAAAGAATCAAACTTTACTTACATGTACTGTAAATTGCTGTTTTTCAGAAATGCTTTATGAGCCACAAATTTTAATCCAGAATCCACGATTGTCCTAAGAAAACACATAATTGCACGTACATTAGAACGAACTGGTTAATGCCTCCTTGACTATAACAGAGCATAAGAAAAAGTTCTGAGATAAGGTACGCGAGTCCGGAGTACTTACAGATTTTTCAGTCCTGCATAAGCTTCAACGTCATCTTCGTTGATGATTTCCAACCTTTTCTGATTGGCAATGTAGCTGCAAAAAGCGCAGAGAGTGAAAACCAGTCACTCAGAATGCAGACAGTACATGAAAAGAAGGGGTAGCATCCATCCTACCTCACCAGGGCGGCGAGCCCTCCCCACCCACCCGAGCCCCACCCGTTTCGTTAAAATACAGAAGACGGAGGAAAACTGAATGTGACTGAGAAGAAACCATGATTGAGCAGGTTTCAAGGTCAACGACAGGTTCACCAAGTTCCCTTTTTTTCTTAATCCTTTATCACTTCCAACTAACAAATTCAGCCTGCCTTCCCTTTCAAGGTATCCCCTGTGTACAGAGGGGAAAACAACCTGGAAACGCATCCGCTACCTCTCAAAAGCATTTCCTCCTTATAGTGACAACCACAGGGATGCTGGCATCATCACACGCAAGACAGATTACATCTTTCCCTACGCGCCAGGACAACCAGTCAGTCCTTCTTTTTACCTCCTAAAACACTGAAGCCAATTCTCCTCCCCTTTCCCTCCCTCCTCCACTCCCTTCCTTTCTTCCTACTCCCTTTTCCTGACCCAGGATCCCCCTTTTCTGCCTTGGTCAGCACTACTATCAATATCTCCTTTCGGGAACCACATTCACAAAGCCCACAAGGTCCTAGTGCACTCTCTGCAGGAATCCTCCTCTTCCCCACCTGCCAGACCTTCAAGTATAGGAGGAAAGTGGCGACAGAATTCCATCCCCTTGGCCATGATGATTGGCTCAGAGATGTTCATGTGGCCTCAACCAGACCAATGAAAATTTTCCCTAAAACTGAATAGATGATGCTGGGACAGAGAGAGACTCTTTCCCTGGGATCCTAGTAGAAAGATTATACAGTCCCAGGGCCTCCATGAGAAGTTTTTCTGCCACGAGGAAAGAGACTGTCTAACTATGAAGTCAGCACACAGAAGAAAAAAGACCTATGAGATATAATAAGAGAGAGGACCTGAAAAATGCCACTTGAGCCCTTGGATCCAGATATCTCTGTGTCACTAACAGAAGTTTGATCTGAATTTCTGTCACTTCCAACCAATAAAATCCCTAGTAATACAAACACAAAGCTATTAAACCTACCACCATGGACTACCCTTGTGCTACAGTTATTCAAGTAGCTGTCTATTTTTCTTAGGTCACAACCTCTTTGAAGACAGCTGGATCCTGATCTATAACTCTTAATAACACCACAGAATCTAGCAAAGCACCTTGCACAAGGTAGGTATTCAAAGGATAAAGGGTAGATAGATGGGTGGATGGGTGGGTGGGTGGATGGACAGATGGATAGATGGATGGATGGACATCCACGGATGGGCAACAACTGGAGTTCCAAAGGCACTATAAGAACTTGTGTCAGGATGGGTCTTCCCCTCTCTTTTTCAAAAACAATTTAAGATATGTAACATATCCCAATTAAGACACTGAAAACAAATATGTAGCCCTGCTCTTACCAACGTGAGTTAAAATGAAAAACAGTAACCATTGGGGGAGAAGATACAGCATCTATAGGTCCCTTCTTCTACTACACAATCCATAAAAGGAAAAATAGATGTCAAGATACACATGGTGGGCACCTGGGTGGCTCAGTCGGTTAAGCGTCTGCCTTCGGCTCAGGTCATGATCCCAGGGTCCCGGGATCGAGCCCGTCATCCAGCTCCCTGCTCTGCGGGAAGCCCGCTTCTCCCTCTCCCACTCCCCCTGCTTGTGTTCCTTCTCTCGCTGTCTCTCTCTCTCTGTCAAATAAATAAAATATTTTTAAAAAAAAGATACACATGGTAAGAGTTATGGCATCTATTTTTAGAAAATAAATTTTAGAAATAAAGTAAAATATGGAAATGCTCTGAGAAAGCAAAATCACACCAAAGAAAAATAATTTTCAAAGGACCCATTTCATAAAAAAAAAAAAGCAACCTCCAAGATAGAAGGGGGCATCTCTTCTGCTCAAAGATCTTGGTTCTCCCTGATATCCAGGGCCTGGCGCTTAATAGATGCACAGGAAGGATTCATTCCCTGCTCTCCTTCTACTACACTGGAAGGAAACACTTTTAAGACTCCAGCCTAATGCTCAAACAATTCTCAACATCAAGATTTGTTATGAAATGTTTCTAAATCATCACACTTTAGATTAAATTATTCCACAAACATTTTCGATAGAGACCATAGTGACCACCCTCTTCTAAATTATCTCCCAATAAGAACTTCATTCCAGAGACCCCCTAAATATTAATGCCTTTTTCATGTAATTGGCAGCAAAAAGGGCAGATAACATGGGCAAGGTTTCCTTTGCAGTCACAGCCAGGACTTCCAGAGAAGGCTGTTCCTGCCTTATAGCTGAGCCCTAACGTGGTGTCTGTCACTGTTCTGAAATCATCTAAGAGTTTTTCAGCTCTCTTGGTGAGATCATCACTGTATCCTCCATGCCTATGACAGGGGCCTGATATTCAACAGGTACTTAGTCAACTGCTGTGGCACAAAGCATTTATCTTTAACTTTTCTTTTAGTTTTTGGCAGCCTTTGTTTTTTTATTTCATTTTTCATCAGATTTTTAATTGATAAACTCCCCAGTTGTATTCAATAAAATACAATGAGCTAACACAAATTAGAATGAAGGACATAGAAGAAAAAAAGGGGGAAAGAGATAAAAGGTAACAGGCTTAATTTTAAGCCTTCCAGTCACTGAGACCCTAGAAAAGAAGGAAAAGGAGATAAATTTCATCGGTGGTAAATTCACAGTGTTCACAAGATGAAAATATGTCAGACGTTAGGCAAAGCATAACAGTTCTTGGATCTAAGACCAGACAGGAGATTGTGCTGAAAACCATCAAAAGAACCATGTGAAATTATGAAAAATGGTCACTAGAGAATACTTTTCCACTGTGGAGGCAGGAATGCCCTGGATAAATCATGAATATTTCTCCTAGTCAGCATGGAAAAACGAACAGAAGAGCTGGATTAAAAGACAGGCAAGTGCCCTCCAGATGCCAAGAACTGCCCTTCGTAAGTTACCATCTGCAGACATACTCGCAACATAGCTGCTGGCTATAAACTGTTCATCGATTCTACCCCCACCCCCAAGAAACTTTCCTGAGCTACCATGAAGTGAGAAATCACAGGGTTAGAATGGAAACTAGTACAGGTAATAACAGACAATTCACAGAAGGGAAACCTCAGTGGCCAAGAAACAGATGAAAAACTGCTCACCCCACAAGAACTCTGAAGTGCAAATTAAAACAAGGACATACCACTCCTCTCCCACTAGATGGACAACATGTTTAAAGTCTGACAATACAAAGCATTTGCAAGGATGTGGGGGATTTCTCTTACATTGTTGGAGGGAGTGTAAATTAGTACAATCACTTTGACGAGCAGTTTATCCTGGCAAATGATACATCAGCACACTTTACAACCCAATAATCCCATTTCCAGATATTTACCGGAGAAAAATCTTACACATGTACACACAGAGACATATACAATAATATTCACTGTAATACAGTCAGAATTCGAAGTCAGAAACAACCCAAGTGTCCATCGATTAAGAAACAGAGGGGGCGCCTGGCTGGCTCAGTTGGAAGAGCATGCAACTCTTGCTCTCGGGGTTGTGAGTTCAAGCCCCATGATGGGTGTAGAGATTAGTTAAATAAATAAAAAAACTTAAAAAAAAAAAGAAACAGAAAACAACCAGAGGGGAGGTGGGAGGGGGGATGAGGGAAACAGGTGATGGGGATTAAGGAATTCACCTGTCATGATGAGCATGGGTGATGTATGGAAATGTTGAACCACTATGTTGTACGCTTGAAATTAATATTACATTGTATGTTAATGGCACTGGAATTAAAATTTAAATTTTTTTTAAAGAAACAGAAAAAATAAGGTTTAAAGCTGAATTAAACCAGATCTTTGTATGTGATTAGGAAGAGATCTTCACGCTAAGTGAGAAGGCTATATAAGCAAAATCGCACGCTGATTTGTACACATATACGTAACAATTTATGTGAACTTTTAAAAATACACAGAAAACAACACCGCATAATGCTCACAGTCAAGGATATTTGTAAAGCATAAAAAGAAGACTGCAGGAAGTCCACCTGGGGAAAGGAGGTTGGGTCTGGGATAAAGAAACTTAAACTATTTATCTTATTAAACTAGAAAACAATTTCTCTTATTAAAAAAGACTTGTGACAAAAATACTAGCATGCTAGTTCAGAATATAAGTACATGAAGTATTTTTATGTTGTTGTATTTTTTTGACATTTTTAAACTTAGGAAGAAAAAAGAAAAGGGGGGAAGGAAAGAAGGAAAAAAGGGACGGAGGGAGGAAGAAAAGGTTGGAAGGGAGGGAGGGAGAGAGGAATGGAAAAAGACAGAGACAGAGAAAGGCACACAAGTGAAGTGACTGCAGGGAGGCTGGACCCCAGGGCTTTGGGGTTAGGAGGTGGTCTCATACCCCTGGGCTCAAGTTCATGGTTCCCTGGACCACCGAAAAAGCATTCTGACAGCCTTCTGCTCCCAGCCCCAGAGCCCTGGACAGGAACCAGCAGATTAAGGAGCATGTTGGGCTGCCCCCTACTGGTGATTTCCACGTGCCTCCCGCAGGATATTGGCCACTCCAGGCCTGGAGCCATCAGCTGCAGAGACCAACCTAGGGTTAGGAAGGAGAGAGAAAGTGGCGGCCAGAGAAGTCACTGAGGGTTAACAGTTAACAGATGTTAACAGTTAACATCTTCCATCTAACAGCTGGAAGATGCACATCCAGGCCAGGCTTCTCCATCACTCTGGTCAAAGTGCCACGAAACTCTGAGGGCTCTTGACTGAGTCAAACTTGGTTAAATAAAGCACATCCGCAAGAAGGGTTTCGTTCCCCTCGAAGCAGTGGGAAAGCCTGGCATTTTGGCACAAGCCTTCCTCAGCAGCTGTCACTCCATGACGAGCCCTAACTCCTCTGACCTATGCCCACTGTTCTGGAAAGCTTAGGCCCCAGGGGTTTTAAGGCACAAGACATCTGC